GGTCAGTTAAATTTAAAAGTTCATGCTATACGTACAACCAAAAAAAAGATTTTGTATTTCCATAAGTGGGGTAAAACTATGGAATAATTTAAGTGTGGACATAAAAAATAGTAATAGAATTGATGAGTTTAAACATAAATATAAAGGTATGTGTCAATCAAGATATATGCAAGAACAGGCTTAATGATTAATTAGATGGAACATTGTGGGTGTGGTGTATGAATGTTAACACTTTGTAATAATTCTTTAGTATGTTACTTGTGTGGTGTAGAAGAGAATTATCTATGTAGAGATACTGCTTGCAAACCAATGATGTAAGATGATGTCATGGGGTAGGACTGGATAAGTCTGACTTCTTCCTACTCCATTCAAGCATGTACTAGGTATAAGCAAATTGATATTGGATTAGCATTTGTTGGATATGTGTAAAATTATGTGTGTTGATATATCAACTGTCTTTACATGCTTGAAAGAATAAATCAAATCAAATCTGTCATCCCTGTCCCGGTTGGCTGCTGCTGCAGAGATCAGACTCATCCTCCCTACGTGTCTCGGTGAGAAACAGCCAAAACACTCATTCAGTATATTTAATCAAACATTCTTAACTCCGTTCAAAGCTGTCACAGTCTAAACAATGTTTTGTTTTCACCGAGGGCAGATAACAAAAGAGCTTAGAAAAAACTGCCATGGATTTTCTTTTCTTCAGTGTTAAATAAAAGGTGAAGCAGCAGGTTGGAAAGAGGAGGAGAAGGGCAGGTACTTACAGCAGGACCGGGCTCTCCTCTTTCACCTCGAGGACCTTTGATGCCGGGGGCACCCTGACGAGGAGACAGAACATTTATGACAAAGACACGGGGAGAGAATAGACCAAAGGTACTTCTGTTGTGTTCTACTGTAGACCGTTGTCCTTAAAGCCTCAAAAACTTGTTCTCTGTCACAAGTATTTCAGTGTAACTTGAAGTGAGACAGACTAGGAGAGGTTCTTGGAACTGGTCATGTACTTTAAGACAAAAAAGCTGGTGCTCTTTGGCAGAGGGACTGATGGTGTCAGTTTCGAGTCTCACTAGGGTGAAAAGACATTAGTGGGACATCTTCGTTATGTCCGATTTGTGTAAAAGACCGCTCACACAGCCCGACACAGGCTGAACGATAGATTCATGTGGGTCTTACCACTGGTCCATGAGGCCCCGGCTGCCCATTGGTCTCTGACACGCAGGTGCAAGAGTTGGGAAGAGCCGGACACTTCAGCTCGTCTCTCTGTCAGAGAAGGAAACAGACCATTCAACATTCACAACATCAGAAATATAAAGAGAGTGAACCTTCAGGTGACGTGAGTGACAGAAGCCAAGCCAAAGAAAATCACTTCCGAGTTTCAACTGATTTCAGTTTATACTGGGAGCTGGACTGGAGTTAACATCCAGCAGAGTGCACGTCATTTCATCACCAGCTGATGATTAATACAGATCAAAGTGTTAAACATTAGCACAGTCACTGATAGGAAGTGTGAGCGAGCTCCTAATGAGGTGTCTGGCACTACTGTGAGAACACGAGGAACCAGCACCGTCTGTGCTGCCGACTGACAGCTCCCACTCCAGAGACAAACAGTTTAGACAAGTTTCCTGTAGGTCGAACTTCAGGACAAAGAGCAGAGCCAGAGCAGGATCTGTGACGTTTTCTGGAGCTGTTCCACTGACAACAAGTACCAGAACAAATGAGTGGGCCCAATGACAGCGCCCAGAGGGAAAAGAGGGAACATCACAGGGTTCAGCACGATAGTGAAATGTCAAAGTAAAACCCTGTGAAAATGGATTAGGAACCTAAAAACAAACTTCTGAAAAGAGGGAAAAGGAATCATCAGGAAGGCGAGATAAAAAGGTTTTGGCTACCAAAGAATCATTTCAGCCATTTCTTTCAGCAACATTCTTTGGCTCCAGTGACAGTTCGAAGCTTCTTTTAGCCAGTAACACAACAACAGTAAACTGAATATCTTTTGATTTCAGACTCTTGAATAAAACATTTGAAGATGCCCTCTCAGGTTTGGGGACCCATATTTAATCACCTTTTTCTTAGGTATTAAAGACCAAACAAATAATTGTTAGCGGGTACCCTGACCTTGTAGCACTCCTACTTTTACATGAAGACTGTTGTTGAGCTGCTCACTTAGTCATTGCCCGAGTGTTCATAGTTGTTGGTGGGTACCTTAGTGAACTTGGATAGAGCTAGTCTTTACGCTAAGCTAAGCTACTTGACCCTGGGCTTCTCATTTCACCCTCAGCAACAGCACGACTGAGCGAACTTCCCATAATGTCCAGTCATTTCTTTGACAGCTTTTACTGCGTGTTACAGCTGAAACCTGCTGGATTAGTTCACAGCGTGAAGCAGGACGAGGGACCGTGTGCCAACACAAACACATCTGACAGGCGTTTCTGTTGTGAGGTTCAGAAATCTTCAACTTTACTCATGTTCTTCTGTTCTATTCAGGTCTCATTGCTACTCCTCATCCAACACGGTGTTGGATGAGGAGTAGTAATGTTTTGATACAGATACAGATAAAACTAAACCATCCAAGACAAACACTCAGCTCTGCTTAGTTTGGGTGTAAAAACATGTTTCCTGTCTTTTCTCCCTGGATTTAATTTTTATTTATTTTTGTGACAATCCTGTCACAATGTTGAAGGGAACAGTAACAATCTTTTTGTGCTTTGTGGAAATTAAATCAGCCATAATTATATATATCGCTGGGGTTTAAAGAATCAGCTCAAAGTCCAAAAATCACCTGACGTTAAACACACACTGGACTTGTTGTGTAGATGTTTCAGCGTAGCCGCTGCTGTCTGATCGCCTCAACTGGGTCATTTAATAATTGTCAGAACACAACCCAATCAGGCAGCTGTCCCTGCGCTGTAGCAATCGAGATAATAATCCCCCAGCGCTGCAGCCTTGTTCAGAATAATCTGGATGTCCAGCTCAGACAAAGCTTTGGTTGTTACTGCGTCTCTGGAGATCTCTGCTGGGGCTGAAGACAGAAACCTTCACAGAGAAAGGCCCGATACTGTAGTGAGCTGGGCTAGTGCCCAGAGATTTAAAGGATGAGGTCAGGCATTTTCTGTATTAACAGCTCTTTTAAACACTCACCTCAGAACAGCCATAACGTCTTACAGCGTCTGAAGAAAGCAAGACTCAACTGCACATGCGTGAGATCTCCATAAAAGAGCGAGGGGCTAGCGGGCTGTAAACAAAGCCGAGATTTCACACATGTGCAGCTGATTCTCGCCAACTTCAGACCAACTGACCTTTGATCAGATGTATCTGCTGGCTCACACTCCTGTTTGTTTCTCTCGTTGGACCTGTCCTGACTCTGATTATGCTGCTCTAAGGTCTTTGATCTGCTCCTCAGTCCAAAAATCAACTAAGAAAACTGAGGATGCACTGTGAGGGCTGTGAGCTATTTTGGACCTGCAGCTGAGTGTTGGGAGTACAAACACACTCATCTGTTTATTACTGTCAGGAGGTTGTAATTATTTCCACTTGTAACTGCAACTGAGCATATCACCAAAGGCAAATCCACTGTCCCCAAGTCGGCATCATTTCTTTCAAAAAGCTCTGAGGAAACCCAGGTGGCCTTTGGAGGATCACTCCAAAGATGTGCCACACACGGGAAAAAAAAACAAATACACAAACTCGGTAAAACCACACTTACACAGAAGACCCGAGTTTTAGAGGGGGTTTTGTGTTCTTTGACTTAGAGCTACTCTGGACAGTGTGTATAAAATACTTTTTCCATTTGGTCATAAGCAATTTTTTCTTTACTTATACATAAAAACAAGAAGTGCATTGAAAGCTTATGCCCAATCAGGCCTTGAAAAGCCACAGTCTTTGCTTTATTTTGGCAATAATTTACATTTTTTTAGGACTAAAGTCAAAACAGTATCAGTTCCGCTGGCCAGAAACTCCATCCGCAATTTCTGGATTTCCTAATCCAACTGGACTAAAAGATGCTCCTGACAGCAGCTGATTACCCGGATGCTGAAGCTGAAGCTAAGCCAAAGGTTTACCATCATCCAGCTGCTGGCTGCAGGTTAAAGAAGTGGGTTTGCTGTTTGTATACATTAAGAAAGTTAAGTTAAAAGGTCCAAGTTTCATAGCTATGGGGGGGTTCCCTTACCATAGAGGGGAGGTCACAGCATCTGTCCCTGCTGGTCCAGGCCAAGCTGCAGACAATGTCGAACATCTGGAGCTGGAACTGCAGAGCGGAAATGATAATAAATAGCAAAACATGGGAACAGTGTTGTGGTACATGTGTCTCTGATACGCCCTTCACAGCTCCCAGAGGACAAGTAGAAAATCAGCAGCACAGCCAAGTCCCACCGGCCTCGGGGAGGAGAGGAAGCGTCTCATATTAACATACAGTCCTGGTGCATGGCAGGATATAATCTTTTTTTAATGTCCATTTTAATAAAGCACAATCCCTCATCCTGTTATAATGAATCCAAAACATCCCTCCCAACTCACTGTCAACTGTGTTCAGCTTCAAGCCGTAACAGTGAGACGGAAAGAGCGTTCGTTTACCTGAATGAATTAACAGCACATTTGTTGTCAGACAAATGAAATGTTATGTTTTTACATTCACCACTAGTCACTTCATCAGCTTTTGGTCTAATCACTCTGAGTGACTGTCAAGTCTTAATCACGTCGCTCATAAGCATTAACCGGTCTATCACGGCACTAAAGCAAGATATAAACAAAAAGCTACTTCGCTAGAAAGCACGTTTTCTAATGTGTCTACCTTTGTATTCTGAGCTAAACAGATATTTACAGATGTACTGAACAGAAACATCTAAACACTCAAAGTTAAAACACTGTATGAATAAAGCTGCCTGAGGTCGTAAGAGGAACAGGCACCGTATGCTTCTCCTCCACACAGGAACACAGCAGCGTTCCTCAAACCAAGCGATTTCACGAAGCATTAGTGAGAATATCTTTCACGATTTTCTAAAATAAACTCTTTGAAATGTCAGAGACAAAGCAATTCCTCAAGAAAATAATCAGAAGACTGATCAATAACAAAAATATTAGTGTTGATGTTACCAGTTTAGTGTATATTCTGTCTGGTAACGGTACAGCTTCGTGCCAACTCTGTAGCATCGACAGTTTGGACTCATCACTGGCTTCGTGCTTTGACATATTTGTGTAGTGTTGTAAGAAGTAAAGCTGCCAATCCTCAAAATAAATCTTAAGAGTTAGAAAAAGAACATCTGCTCTCTTAAGGCTCAAGTTGGATTAAAATAAATGATCTTCCTTTCTACTGTGTGCTGAGCCATATGCAAGTAATAGATAACCCAGCGTTTAGTCTCATGTGGTTCTGCTCAGACAAACTCTGATTTCTCGTTATTACATGTCCAGTAACAGTTGATGCGGTATTTGCAGAATGCCAAACATAAGCCTCCTCGAGGCATTAACACATCATTCACGTACTGAAGTTACAAAGTCCAAAGTAAAGTACAATGCCTTCGTAACCTTTGTACACTCATACTGTAGTCTAAGCTTTGGCTCTGCAAGATCTGAGTGCACTTACAGTTGCTGACTGTCCTCTGGAGCCGATGGACTTGGACATCTTGCCCAGAACCTGGTAGCCATCGCTGGACGCGTTTCCAGTGGCCTTGATTTCTTTTTCATCCACTTCTTGGCAGTCGATGTTGAGTTTGACGCTGGTGGATGAAACCAGGATATGGAGCTTTGGAGAGAAGGGGAGACAAAGAAGAGCTCATTTTGCTGGCACACGCTTTGTTCTGCGACCAAGTGTTGTGTCTGGTTTTTATCCCGATGGCCTGCAAATTATTAGGCTGTGAAGAGTCTGGAGCCGGAGCAAAGGGCGGACGTGCTCCATTGTCTTCGCTGTAGCTGAGTTTAATGAAACGATGCTGGAATGTAAGAGAGCCCACTCAGAGGGAGACCGGCGGCGTGCTCCATAACAGTAAAGACCCTGGAATGCGTAGAAGTGCATATGAAGGATAGAAGTCGCATCTCAATGAAAGATCACTTATTTACTTTATTGGTTGTTTTCCATTTGTTATATGCACCGATTTAAAGAAGCCAACTGCCCTAAAAAACGCAGCTTTTATTTTCTGTAAAACAAAAGGTTCACAACATTTCCATCTGTGAAAACCAAAACCAATTCTCTTTGACACAAATTTAAAATCTAACTCCATCTTCTACAGATTGGGACCATTCTTATGTAAAGTAACATGAAGCTGTGGGACAAAGTCTTAAGAATGAGGCTTTAAGGGTTATACAAATCAAACTGTTTATGAATTTGTGTTATAATAATCAACTTCTTCAACTGGAGAATCCCTAAATACCAGTATCTTTATGGGTGGGGGGGGAATCCATGAAGTGACTTTTAAAGGATCCCTTTTGCTCATGCACATCTCAGAATCCTCCTTTTTTACAAAAACCCAATTTCAGCTGGGAGTTCATCAAATTAAGGAGGTCAAATCTCCCAGCGCTCCTTCCAACCATCTCACTCGAGCATCTTACACTGCTTCAGTTCTCAGCTGTAAAATAACTGAGGCTCCAGTGGATTTGTCGCTGTTAAACACACACGATACCTTTCTCCTTACTCAGACCTCCTTCACCACATCTCCTCATGATGTCATTTTGCGGTAAGCCATAAGTGCTGCCTTTACAACTCGTCCTCAAAGCCGGTCCCTATGAGGCAGCGGCTGGTCAGAACGAGTTCGGTTGTAAGGAGGGAAAACGTTGCTTAGGCAAAGCCACGGAGCGCTGCTTGTGGCCAGTCGGCGTCGGCGGAAATGCAGAGGCATGACTAACGGACCGCAAAGACACCGAGACATCCAAGAAAGTCTTCAGGGAGCGAAGCACAGCAGAGTTTCCATTTACACTTTGGATTGTGGGCATTTATCTGATGCTCTGCAGCTGCCAGAAAGACAGCAGGTACTGCTGAATCCTCACTGTGTGGCTCTCAACACTGTCACAGGATACACTCGTCTGTGGACACTGGGGTTCACAGGATATGGATTCTAAAAGCCAGCAACAACACTGATATAGCCACTCTGAAGGTGCCAATATTTAAATGTAATCAGGTTCATGCCAAAACAGTTTCACTCAGACGTCTATTCTCGTCAGGCTGAAAATGATTTAGAGGAAAATCTGATACACTGTTCCTGTAAAACACAAACTGATGTATTAGTCACATGTGGATCTTTGTGGATAACATCAGCTATTACTGGCCATCAGGCCTGCCAAAGTAAAGCCCGTGCCGAATACAGAATCTCAGTTATTTCTCAAGCTGTTCTTCCAGATCCGTGAAGCCTCTGGCCTCACTCCGGGGTTCTGCTTTGATCACACTGTCCTTATCTATTTGAACAGAAAGAAAAACATAAACTAACACTTTGTGCAGTTTTATGAAGAATGGGGTCACAGATCTCACATGAGGCATTTATTGGATGAATTTGGTTATAAGATTTGAGCTCTGCGGTCCTGTGATAGACCTGTCCAGGGTGGACCCCTCCTCTCACCCAGTGTCAGCTGGGATTGCCCCGCCCCTCGCCACTCTATTCAGGAGTAAGCGGTATAGACAATGGACGGATGGAAGTGGAGATCTGTTGTTTGAAAAACAAACATTATTTAAAGGATAACTTTGGTGATATTGGTATTACTGATCATCTTCTGTCTGATCAATCACCTTCAAGATGCCCCAGAGTTTCAGCTTACAGAGAGGTCTTCACTTGTCAGACCACAGAGGTGCCCCACTGAAGCTGCTCAGGTATTTACTCAACTCAGGCTGCACTCAGACTTTCTAAATCATCTTTGTTTCTGCAAAGCATCAACTGCAAAGGTTCACCAGTTCTACAAGTGAGAAGCTTTTAAATCTTAAGTTCAGTCATATATCAGGAGCTGACAGAGGCTCAGCAACAGTAAAAACCTTTTTATTGTGAGCTGACTGGGTGAATTTTAATCCCATCTGGGTTTTACAAGTCCTTTTATTGTCTTGTGATAAGACAAACCTGATGGTTTACTACAAACTCCCTCAACTGCTTCCACTGTTCTGCCTGAGTGTAGAGAGAAAACAAAGGGGGAAAAGACGAAAACGATGTCAGAACTGTCAGTCAGCCACTGACTGTCTCCACTGTTATTAGAAATTGCTTCACTGGGAGAAGGTTTTAAACCTCCCTGCTGACAACAGACATCTTGCCCGGCACCAGAGGCCGTGTACAGAGGCATGCTGGGAGGTAAAACCACAGAGCTGTAAGAATTCCCCTGTGGTCAGTTACCAGAGGCAGCAGGCAAAGTGACTGCTGTCAGCCCAAGGAGAGAAGGAGACCTGCAGAGAGAAAGGCTGTCGCTCCTCAGCTGCTCTTACGTAACTGTTTAAAAGCAAAGGCAGCGATGCAATATTTTTCCAGGCGAGCGTCCCAGCAGGGACTGCAGGGCATTTCTAACGGCCTCTGCCTCTCGTGAAACGTTGCGACACTACTGCACAGCTGTCCTCACAGCCTCCCCTCAGCACCACATGGTATGACGCATCCCTCTGACCGGAAACTGTCCATAAAGCCAGAGCTGCGCTGCAGACACAGTTTGTTCTGAAGCCCAGCAAAGACTCTGTTCTTCACATCAGACCAAAGAGAAAGGCGGACAGCTTTCGTTCTACTACTGGTGCACTAACCACTGCTTATGTCAAAAATCATGTTGCCATAAATCTCAGGTGATAATCCTGCTTGTACAGAAATATAATCGATGGACGGATGCCTCCACCAGTCCATTAGCGAGTTAGTGCTGTATGTAATCAATAAAAATAAATACAACGGAGCCTAGGTGCCGGAAACATCTGTTTGCCCGAGTTGACACAACTCTTCATCTGTAGCAGAATGTGAAAGGCGACGCCTGTAATATACTACACACTTGGAATCTGAGGCATCCGCAGTATCTGCGCGACCTCGGGACATCGAGGGAGAACAAAGCAGAGCGATTCTATTGATGTGTCACGCCTCGGTCATGCCTAAAAACCTTATATAATCCAACCATTAAACACATTTGACTTTCCTCTGTTTAACATAAACATGGTTCAAACCCAGAAAAGACATACGGAGTAAATCTACTGCTCACATCCCTGTGGTGTGTTTAGTCTGCCTTGATGAATGGCAGCGTGTCTGTCTGATGGCCTCTACACTTGTGCTGTGTTTATTACCTTATGGAAGCTTCCATGGAAGATCTTCTTCACTTCACTGTTGTCGAATGTGACCCTCTGAATCTCGCCACGCTCGTCTTTGTTGTAGAACGCCACGGTCTGGCTGGAGGCTGAGCACAGACAGAAAGATGTGACACACCAGTCTCTTTAGCTGTAGGAATACTCTGGTCTAATAAGCTTCAGGGTAAATCTGTGGCTGAGTGTTGTTTCCTTACTCATAAAAACATTATGTAAACTCTAATGGTGCAAACAAGCTCCTGAGAGGAAGCCCGGAAAGCCAACAGCAGCTACTGATGCACATTAATATTTAATCATTTGTGAGCAGGATATTTAAATGTATATACATCAAACTATTAGGTCCATGAAGAAGCTTTACATTTAGAAAAGTCTGGGTTTTGGCCACCATATTGGACGCGTCACTGACTGGACTGCAGTGCACGTGATACTGTTGGCCTGGTGGTTAAAGTGTTCAAATGAATTTTCTGTGGCATGGGATCTGTCACTCAGACTGCTGAGTGTCATGGCTGCTTTCCTGATGAACGTGGTGGGAGTTTAGTGCTAAGTTTATCGTGGCTTTACTTAGCTGCACGTGGCCGTGGACTCAGCAGCTTTTAGAGGGGCCTTTCCTTCCTGTGCCGACTTCAGAAAGGTGATCCGTGCCTTTATTTCATCCCAGCTTAATACTGCAATGCATTATACACCAGTCTTCTCTCACTTAGAGCTTGTCCAAAAGGCTGTCGCTGGACTATTGACGGGTAATTATAAATATGATTATATCTCCACCATGTTAACATCTCTTCATTGGCTCCTGGTTCATTACAGGATCAGTTTTAAGGTGGTGGTGTTTGGTTTTTAGTCTCTCAATCAGTTGGTACCATCTAGGGCACATAGATCAGGGCTGCTATGTTGTGTCTGATATGCGGTATGTCTTTATTTATTTTACTATTCATTTTTACCTATTTTCATAAACCTTGTACAGCACTTTGGTCAACTTTGTTGTTTTGAAATATGATTGTAAATTGATTTGACTTTCAAATTTTATCTTGTAGCAATTTTCGTATTTCTAAAGAGCGATATAAGTAGCGATAGTACATGTACTGGAATCAGTGATTAAAGCCTGATACGAAGTGAGTGTACTCGCGGTCCAGTTCCCTGTTCACAGCTGCCGTACATGTCTGTTGTCTTTCTGGGTCAGCAGGGAGGCGGTAGAACGATAACGTTATTCCTGGCTCGGCTCGACTGTTGTGACAGCTGGCAGCTACACAGTAAATACCCAGTAACTGTTGACTGTTACAAAGAGGTTAGGGTCACAAGCAGCGAGCGAGCGCTCAAACTAACCTGTGTTTACATGATGGTCTAATAGGTCAAAGTGGCTCGGCTAACGTCATCCCTAAATATTATGTGTGTATGATGATTGTGTACAGGGGCCATGTGATTACACTTACTTTACACTTACTGTGCTTGCTTGGGTAGTGCTAGCGGACCAACAGCTAGCGATCTGTTACAAACATAACTCGTGTGAGATTATTAGTGGTAGCCTAAGTTCTTTGCCTGTGTGCCTACACCAGTGCAGCTTGACATGTCCAGTATAGTGGACATCGAGGTATCATGTGACCTGATGACATCACGTGGAAAACCTCAACAACCCACTGTAACTAACCTGCCAATCTAATTAGTTAAGTTTATGTCAGAAACAAGACTTAAAGGACAACTTGATCCTTGATATGTCCTGATTTGTTGGACGCCTCAATGACTGAATTTCACACCTGTTTACATTCTGCACAGGCCACCAGTACCAGGCTGTAAACATTTTTAGAGTCTCATTCAGATTCAGATATGCTGCTTTTTAAGCCTCTGACCAGTCAGAGCCACACTTACAACGGGGCCACATTGCCCAGTCCTATGACAATATATCCTGTAAAAATATCCGGACTTTTAGATGCTTGGGATGGATCAAGCTCTAACAACTCTGGATTCTACTTTAATCACACATTTCTTTGGACCCTTCCTGGGAAATGTTCACATCTTTCAATCTCTACAGGCTGTTTGGGTGATTTCCTGAAACGCCTCCACACTGGCTGGAAACATTACACAACAGTTTCCACTGAATGAAAAGTAAAGTGATGAGAGGACCGATCTTCATTTGTAAAACTGACAGCGTCCCTTTAAAAACTAACAAAATGTGTTTGTGTTTTACACGTGTAAAGACTTTTAAATTGTGGGATACAGCTCATCTCTGTCAGAGAGTTTGATAAGAAGATTAATACTTTTAGTGAATATAAAGCTGGAGCCTGGGGGCGTTTCCCTCGGCACAAAGCCCGAGAACAGACAGAAACAGCCAGCAAATCTCTTCATCTAACTCTCTGCCAGAAAGCACATAAGCGTATTTCTAGATTTCCCAAAAATGTTGAACCAGTCCTTTAATAAGCCCAGTAGGGAGTCCTGCTGACGGACCGGAGCTGGGGCTTTACGAGACCCAGCCAAGCCCGATCGCTGGTACAAGACACTTGTAGAAAAAGGAGGCAGCTTAGTTATCAGCTGAGGCCAAAGCAGCCGGGGGGCAGCGCTGGCTCATTACACCCCCTCAGCTGGCTTCATGATGTGACACAATGAGGCACAGCTGCTCCATATCCCCTCACACATTTCCAGTTTTCATGCCAGTACCCTTGTTTCAAGACACACACCACAGATACATCAGACAATGATATTTACAGTCAATAGTGACGCCGGTCTCTGGCTTATGGTCTTTGCTTGACACCTGCCAGATGTCGAAGGCCTCTGTAGGCGAATCAGGGAGGAGACGGAACATCAGAATGATGGTGTAGGTGTGGGGAAGACCGTGGGGGTGGATGTCGCTGTTCATGAGACAAGAAGAGACAACATGTAAGATTTACTGTAAATACTGAGAGGCTGAGAGCAGGCGGCAGACTATGGATGATCTCAAACTGCTCACAACCAGAGTTAAGTAAGAAGAACATGAATATTTCACTGTTCGCATGAAGACAGACAGGACACTGTTGACATGGCAACACCTCAGTAAAACGAGACCTGCTTTTGTCAAACCAAACAACATTCTAACTTTTAACCCATGTTCACCTTTAGTTAAATAACACCGTAATCCCCTTGTAATGAAGTGTTTCTCATTGTTAGAGCCTTAGAGCATTTTAATAACTTTTCCAGGACTGGCTCGGTTTCCCATTTATCCCTGTGATGTCATTGCACATGGTGGAAACTTGGTAAACAGCGAGATCTCAAGCTGTTTCCCACCACTGGTGCATGTGATGTTCTGGATATAAGAAGCATATGCTGAGTGGTGGCAGTATTAACAGTTAGATGAGTTGGGTTTGGACAAAGTGGCCTGAAACAGCTGATAGACAGACTGGACTTTGTCAGGACTAGAGCCTCACACAGAGATCCACTGACCCAGTTTGTAATGAGAATGAGCTCAGACAATCTGGACACAGCTGTGCAGGGTGCGTCATGACATGAGAAGGATAAACAGTGACAACAAATGTGCACTGTCACTGGGAAGCTGCAGGAGAAAGTGCTGGCTGTACTCAGCTGTGAAGTTTTCTTCCTGCAGAGTTCGGAGATAGTCTGCAATTAATGAGAACATTGTCGCTATGTAACCGAAAAACATATGCTGCATTGTTCTCATCTAAAATATACGACTGGGTCTTATTTCTGCATTTGGTGCCATGCAACCAACAATAAGAAGTAAATCAGCCATTCAAATTTTCTGTTCATATGAGCAGGGTATATGCCGAGGCTTTCGTAGAGGCACTCTGGAAGGAGAAAGACCTCATTGGCTCAGCTATAACTGAAGGGACAGAGCCAAAGAACAAGAGTTTCTCTGTTGAAGTAACACAGACCTAGCATTCCTGTTGCCAACTGAAAAATGTACAACATTCACACTAGGTTATATGGGTTAGCATGTCGACTGGTGGCCCAAGATGTTCTACTGAACAGGGCAGTACAGTTTAGATTTAGACACGTACTGATGAGCGAACAGCAGCTTGAATAGCAACAGCTAATAATAAACTGGTCAGAGACAGTCGAGTGAAGCTCGGCTTCATTTTGTTAAAAACATTTCCGTTCCTATAAACACTGAACTTTCTTGTACAAGTCTTAAAAACGTAGTGTAATGGCATCACACATACGTACTGTCATCTAGAAAATGTGTTTGAAGCAGAGTTAAAGCTAAGCTCATCAGGACAACAGTGTTAATACTGGCAACACAAACTGTAAGAAGTGTAAGATGTATTCATTTTGGTAAAGACACAAGGTACTCAAACACACATGTTTTTAATTAAGAGCAGAAAGGCTTCATCATCATCATGAGGCTACTCAGAAACGCTGGTGAATGACACCCTCCATCCACAGTTTATTGTATTTCGAGAACAGAAGCTCATGTTGAAGTGGGTGTGACTCTGGCTCCCTGACCTTTCAGAGTCATGACTGATAAAAACATATTTTTGACCACACTTCTGTTTGTCATTTAGCTTTGAGTCACTATGTGCAGACACTATGAAATTATCCTAATTACCAAATTGTATCAGTGCTGGTTGTAGTTATTCATGCAAAACAAAGCCAGTTCTTTGGTTCTGCTCATGAAACTGAATTTCCTTATGAGGTCATTTCTGCCTGTGGACCTGCTTCCATGTGAATCTGCATGTGTATGTTAATCAAGCGACTTTATCAGTCTTGTAATCTGAAATAGTACGAGCACAAAGCTGAAAAGAAATGCATGCTTCTTTTCTCAACCTTCCCTGAAGAAATGAAGGTTAAAAGAGTCATCAACAGGCTGCTGGGTGAAACAGCGAACACTGAGGATGAAACTGAACGCAGGCTACGAGGACTCACGTGGTGGGCTGAGTCAGGAAGGCGTCTTTGTGGAGTCTGTATGATGTGTAACTGTTGAAGGAGCCGGGCTCCATAGAGACTCCTTTAATGTGGCTGTAGGTCTTTTCCGTCAGGTTGAAGGCCTCGAGCATCCTGAAGCCTGTTACATAACAAACCAGGAGTTTTGTCTTTAAATGAGACACATGAGGACAAACCTTGGTAAATGATGAATTTCATCATTTGTACTTACCAGGTGAAGTAAACCCATTCAGGAAAATCAAGGGACACGCTGTGAAACAATGAGAATAATTATGAGTTTTGACCAAAAAACAAAAACACCCAGACACAGTTAGACTAGCATTTGTGCACACATACATGAAGATGCCGTTTCACAAAGGAAGGTAATCAGGTTTTCTTTGATGGTGTTGAAAGCATCGAAGTCGTCCACGACAAAGACGTGCCTGTCGCTGGGTTTGCTGCCAATCTGCTGCAACTCCACGAAGTCCACATCAGCAACACCAATGGCAAAAACACTATAACCTGAAGACAGGACAAAACAAGTCCAGTCAGAATGCAGACTGGCAGGTTGAGAGACAAGCTTGTGCCTCCAACTAAACTCATAGTATTTTCTGGCGAAGAAGCCTGGATGATCTGAGGGAACTCAGAGTCCGTTACCTGCGTGCTGCAGCTTGGTGGCGCTCTTCTTCACCTCGTCCTGAGATCGCCCATCTGTGATCGCTACAATCACCTTGGGGACATTTCTCCTCATTCCATTTTCTGAAGAAAAGGCCTTTTCAAGGGTGTGTTTCAGTGCCTCTCCTGCTCAACAGAGGACAGAGAAAAACTTTGAATGCTCAGGCGTAAGGGGAGCTAATATTTCACAGGTGTACAGGCTGCACGAGATAAAGAAACAGGACGATACAACAGGCTTCATGTATCACTGTGAGATGAGGCGTGCAATCCAACCTGTCTTGGTGTTTCCTCCTCTGTAGCGAATGTAATGAAGCGCAGACATGGCGACACCTTTGTCTTCGTAAGCATTCAGCTTGAACTCTGTTTTCGCATTGTCGCTGTACTGCACGAATGACACCTTTGGAAAACCACATCACAGACTTTAGAAGAAACAGAAGTCAGCTCAAAGAAGTCTTTGCGACGGTCTATGACAACCTCTGACCCGAGATCCTAGATTCCACATAAAACTTTAGAGAAGCTCCAGGAAAGAGCAGCAGAGGAGGGATCTCTCTTCAGACAGACATCCAACAGGTCACATATACAGAGCAGACAGAAGAAAGAATAGTGGAATGACTAAATGAAAACCTCCCCCAGCATATGGAATCACACCGCTATCTTTAGTTTGAAAGTTATTCAAGAAAAATGATATTTCACTAATGGTGGTTTTCATCAGGGTCTAGCTCAGCAACGTTTGAAGATACATCAAAAACGTTTCATCCAAATTCATTCATTATGCTGTGAGCAAACATAAAGAATGAATGACCGTCACTTTCGGCTTTTCCCATTTTCCCATGTTGACATTTGGCACGTGTTTTACACCGGATGCTCTTCCTGACACAACCCTGACTTGAACCTGGGCCACAGCTGCAAGAGTGCTGCACCCTAACCACCAGTCTATCAGGGAACCCCATGCTGTGAACAAACAAACTGCAGTAAAAACACAACAACAAAAGCAGTAAAGCTACAAGTTACCACAGGATACTGAATAACAGAATACAACCAAGAACTGTGAAGTCACTGAGCTTCAGAGCAGCTGAGCTAAAAAAAAAAAAACTAAACATTTTTGTATGACACAAGAAAAATAAAAATAAAAGCATGTCGTTATGTAAGAAAGAAATTCCCACTTTCTTCTTCTACCTGATGCTGTTCTTATGTCTCATTCTCTGCTGTTCGTGATTACACTTTCAGTTTTCATATTACTGCAGGGAGGGCTGTTCCATGTTTTAATAGTGCAAATAAAAACAACTGCAGCATGATGTCAGAGCGCAGCACTGGCTTGATACCAGCTCAACATTTTCAATACAAACCTGCATTCCTGAGGGTCCCATGACATCAAAGGCGGCGATCACGCTGGAGACAAAGTGTATGACTTTGGTGAAGCTCTCCTCTCCGATACTCCAGGAGCCGTCAATGAGGAACACCACATCTGCTTTGGCACCTTTGCAAACTGTGGCAAGGAAACAGTCGGTAAGGAGCTTTAAAGTCTGCAGGCCAGACCTCGAACCGGCAGCACAAACACCAGCAGAGAAAATGGCTTCATCAAACGGCATGGTTATCGTTTGCAAGCTCGAAGGCATAACAATTCAGCTAATAGTGTGCAACAAACAAAAAGTGAGAAAAATGATGTGTATTGTAATTATGGGTTTCATTGATAAAAAATATGAGGAAAACTCAACAAGGAACATTTGGTCAGCAGAAGGGTTGAAAATGAGCTCTTGCTAATGGTTTCCTCTCAAAATAACCAACTTTACCTCATGTGATAGAGCCGACTTTGTAATCCTCTCTCCTCTGTCCTTCATATAATGTATATACAATATCAATTCTGATAATCAAAAAGTCATTCTGCACAGTTTGCGATGCAGTTTGCAGCCATGCCATTCCCACTGATTGTGTGTGCACAGTCAAAAACACAGATCTTTATGCTGCAGAAGATACAAATGTAATTTCAGTAAGACTTTAACATGCTTACCTTCCCATGCAGGGGGGACGGTGGGTGGAGGTGTTGGGGTTGGTGGGAGCGTTGGGGCCGGAGTTGGCTTCACCACTATGAGAAACAACAGATACAAACCATTAAGAAGGCAGAGCAACAGTAAACACATCCATATGATGAAGTCGGTGCTGCGGATCGGTCCTGTGGGATGATGCGTCTGAACCAGTATCTCTGACGCCACAGGTCACATTCTGACCTGCAGCTTGTTACTACACCCACGTTTTCTTTTTGAAATCTGAGGCGACAGAGCTGAAGGGATTTAGATTTGTCTTGACAGACAATCCCTTTACAGGGATTTGTCTGTTTCCGCTCATGATTTGGGCAACTCTGGTTCATGTTCAACTAATCCCACAGGACAGAAACATCTGAGTACAGTCTGACAGAATCTGAAGAGCGACAGGTTTCATTTGACTTTGACTGAACTTTTAACATGTTGCCAGTGTCTTCCAGTGGCGCCAACGTTGCCTGAAAGACAAGGGCTTTTCTAACCAAAGACCCAATTAATTAATTTACTGTCACATGTGGCAAATAAATTAAAGGTCCAATTAGTCAAAGTATGCTGCTGTATACAACAAAAACAAACAAACAAACATAACAAGGGGCAGTGATGGAAAATGTCCTGGACTTTATCATTTTAAGTCTGACACGTAATGTTATGTAAGGTTAGTCTCCTTGAGGCACTGTCACATCTTCAGGCGTCTGAGATTTCACCACAAACATGACGTCATTAACACTTCACCTGAACTTTCTCCCCCAGCTCTGCCTTTGAGAGATGTTCTGCTAACAAAACCTCCGATTTAAATGACAACAGATCCACAGATGCCACACTCACATGTTTTCTCATTGACGTTGACTCCTGGTCCTTCCAGATTTGGGGTCTGGACGAACACGGTGGCAGTGTACCGAGCATCGGGAGAGAGTCCGTCGAAGCAGTACTGAGGCAGCCCAGCGGGAATCGTGATTTCACGCTGTCCTTTACTGGAAGCTGCAGAGGAAGGAAATTGGATGTGCTTACTCCACCAATAATCAGATTCTAATGTCAGTCAGAAGAAAAGCAACTTTTATTTTCTGTTTGCCACATCTGATTTGTTGAGATGCAGTTGTTTTGATTTAATGACTTGTGCATCTCCTGTAAATATTTGTAGAACTTCTTAGTGTTGCTGCGTTTTCTGTTCTGTTGCTAACGTTGAAAAGTAAAACTTATCAATCCTGCAAAGCATTCATCCTCATCAACGTCTCTGTGATGAACAAACCCAACGTGCGACCCCTCTGGTGACATGTTTACACTGTCACAGGGCTGGGAAGTTTCCTATTTACACTGTGCATTCTCTTAAGCACAAACAAAGCAAAGCCTTGTTTACTGCAGAGACAGCTGCCACAGATGATGACTGCTACTCTTCAGTATGAATGACCAGAAGGAAGAAGCATTTCATTAGTTTCTGTCAAATGGCTGAATCCAGCAGCTCTGATGATGCAACAGCTTCAGAATGAGCTCTGAAATATCAACAAGTTATGATGGAAGCCAATTTAATTTAAACTGTTCTTGGAAAACACACATGCTTCTCGGTCAGATCTCTCCAGAACAGTGGCCATCATTTATCAAGATAGAAGATACACACAAGTTTCTACAGAAAGTGATGTTGACAAAACAAATCTTTGAAATATGTCCGATGACTATCAGATAATTATCAGTCCTAAAAATCTGGCAGCCACATCATCTTCTCTGACCAATGTTTTTTGGCTTTTAACGTACCATTGGAGAAGACCCGAGGTCATGGTTTTTCCACTTAGTCATCTCACTAGCATCTCCAGCCGCTGTCTGCGTTTCCACTCAGAACAAACAGTTGACTGATTTGTTAACCCGAGGCTGCTGCTTGTCACGGGAAGAGATTCTTGGGTGGAGGATTTCTGATCCTCTGGTTGTGGTTAACCAGCCGTCTGTCTCACGCTAGCAGATTTGTTCTGGCAGCCCAAGTGGCTAATGACTACCATACAGATATTTAAATATTGATGCTCCTTCCCCGGTTTTTCCTGCTCATTAACCATTAAACTGTGTCCTTGTGTGAATATGAAGCAGATGGGAATCAAAGATACTGCAGTAATCGAAAAGGATGTAATCTTTGCAAACAGACACACAAAGCTTGGTGGTCAGACGCTTTCAGTCCCAGCCAAGACTTGCATCCTGCTTCGACTAATAATCACAAGGCTTGAAAATAAACAGTCTCCAAGGGTAAAAAAAATGGGTGAGATCAGCAGAAGATCTGAGATCTGACCTCATTTGGAGACATGTCTGTAAATCATCTGCCTCGAGCGTTGCTGCACTTGTTACCAATGCATCACCGTTGATCAAGATGTATGGTGGTGGCAACACCAGAAAACCCCTTATCATGAGAAATCAACTTGTGTTGCATCTGTTTAGTTTTCTTTCCTGTAATCTACTCGAGGTGAAACTGAAGGCTCACTGCTGTGGTTTTGGATATTTTAGCCAACAAATCACTAGAGCCGATCAACAGAAAATTGCAACCATCTTGATGATCAACTGATCGGATAAGTCATTTATCAAGTAAAATGCTGTGTATTTTCTAGTTTCCCCATCTCATTGAATGTGAGGACTGTTGATGGTTGGACCGTCAGTGAGACAAAAACAAAGGAAGCGTGAAGACATCGCACTGAGCTCTGGAAAATTGTGATGGATATTTCCCACAAGTTACTGGTATTTTAGAGACTGACAGGGCAATCAATGGAAAAGAAAATCACTAGATTAAACTGATAGGGCAAATAACTGTTAGCTGCAGCCGTACAAGTCACAGCCAACGATTCTAATGCCGGTCCAGGCATCAACTGGTTTCCACTGACTTTCATATAGAAAGGGCTGCAATGAATGAACCACTTATGCTCATAACTGACTGGCCCATTGATTATACTCATGATAAAACAATTCCGCTGTAACATCTGCTCTGACCAACTACCCAAACACATTCCATTACTTAATGATGTAAAACAGATAAAAGCAGTAAATCCTAACATTTGAAGACCTGTCAGTCAGCAAAGTGTTTCAACAATCAGAACTACCACAGTGAAAATCAATCCTGAAATCGACCTGAACCAGCCAATGTTAATGTAAAATAGAAGTGACAATGGTCAGTAAATCTTTTAAACAAAGAGGTCTGGAGGACTGTGTCATCTTCCACTTCCATGAGGGGTCAATGGGAGTGAAGGTGAGACTGTCTACGGTGAGACGCACACAGACTTACGGTCTGCAGGGTTGAGTTTGATGCGGTATGATGTAGCCGCCCTGTGAGGACTCCATTTGATGCAGAACTTGTCGTGGCCGATGTTGTAGGTCTCGACGTTGGTCACGTTGAGGAAGACTGTACAGGACAGAAAATCGCATTTCAGCCCATCAAGGAGGTACGTTCAGGGTCTGTACAACCTGCTGGTAAATGTTTAGTCCCTAAATGTTGCATTTTGTGATTCTGCTGAAAAGATAAAGACGTCCTCCACCCTGATGTCTGGGAACCTTGAATAGGTGATATGTGCCCAAATGAATGGTTTCTGAGGTTTACAGAGCTCTGCTGCTTGTGCTTCCAGCTGGCACTCCAGTACAGTGGAGGTGACTGGAATAACTGGGACTGCAGACCACAGACTATGAATTAATGGTGTTTTTAGAAACCAAGTTAAAACTAAGATTTGAAGGCTTTTGCTTTCAAGCCTCAAGTAATGTTAGATATTTTTGAGTCTCATCTCGCAGCAGTCACATCCAAAGTCAGTGTTTGTTTTACTTTAAAGCTCCGAGTAAGCTTTGCCACAAATAATATTTAACTTTATTGTATTTGGACTGCAGAAAAAATCAGCAGTGGAGACCTCGAAATCTAAGCAAAAGCATAACTTCAGTAAAACGATCTGTGTGGCTACAAACCACAAGGTGTAAATGAGAAAATGTTTTCTTATGTGGAATGACCGGGTGTTGAAGGACTCCTGCACTTGTCTTCTCACACAGCTACCGTACGTACGTGTGGTTCCCTGTCCATCGAGCGGTGCACTCATGCCGCTGGTGTACTGAGCAATCACTTCGACATCATAGGTGGTTCCAGGCTGCAGGTTGTGCAGAGTGTAAGATGTCACATCGCCCACAAAGAAATCAGTGGACCGGTCTGTGCCTGTAAACACAATAGCAAGAAATAAGACGAGATATGTGCTGGACGGAGTCAGGAAAAGGTGCTACGGCTGTCGTCATTGCACAAGCAAAGGAAAAAAACGATCCCGATGACTGTCTGCAGAGAACTCTTAACTATCTGATGAGCATTTTAAAGACGGACACCTGCAGCAAAAGTTCATCATCGACTCATTCAAGAAGAAATTCAACAGGACTCAAGTTAAGACTGAAGCAGTGTGGCAAAACTAGTCCAACTCAGGGTCCAATTAACCAGCTTCTTCTGGAGCTTTCCATCATTTCATACGTCTTTGTTTACTTGAAGAAGTAGTTCCCAAGCTGGGAAAAGTGACCCCACTAAATTCTTCTTCACTTCCAGTATTTCCCTTTTTCTTGTGATATACAAGAGTTTTACCTCTTGAGCTTGTAAAATTACACAAATGAAAAACTGCAAATAATTTCACAACCGACATCCTGAATTCACCTACACACGGTAGTGCCCACATTCAAAAACTGTGCAGATGTGACATGTTGTCTCACCAACAGGAGAGTAGATCAGCCTGTATCCCTGGACAGGAGCCAGCACCGGGTCCCAGGCCACTCTGAACCGGGTGTACCACTCATCTGAGACACGGAGGTTTCTGGGACTCAACATTCCGACTGTGACAGAGAGAAGATGGCGTCATCATCTGTATCTTTACATAGTTTAGTCTGTGTTTTATGTAGATCAGGTCCATGGCAATAAAACATTCATTTTACAATTAAACTGGTGAGAGGGGTGGGGTCTGTGTCAGTCTGTGTTGTCATTAACTTCACCAAAATATCAAAGCTTTTGTCCATAGAAAAGAGGAAGCCTCATGGATTTAATTCATGTGCTTTGATTTAAAAGAAGCCACCTACAGTAGCTGTTGAAGTTGTATCAATGATTTTGAAGTTGCTGCTGGATCATTTCCCTTCTACGCTTTAGATTTGACTCTTCTCTGAGTTGGGCAGTGTGTGTTCAGACTTCTCTACAGGCCACTCAATATTTCACGTTTGACTCACAACACTGCCCCAAACCTGTGCCTGTGTGTTCCACACACTTAACTACAATGACTGAAACACAAGAGACACATTATTGATCTGTTGTTGCCTCACCTGTACGTCCGTTTCCATTGAGAGACCCTCCTGGACCCTCGGCGTAGACAGCCTCTACAGTGATGTTGTACGGCGTGTCTGGCTGCAGATGCTGCAGCATGGCATTGTTTCTGTTTCCAGGGACCACCGTCTGAGGAGCAAGACAACACAGAGTCATTACGGACTGGTCTGCAAACCGAGAGAAACAGGAGGGCCGGGGCGGCCCGATAGCCGAGCGATTATGGTGCAGTGCACCATATACCCAGACATAGACGCGCTTCTTTATTAGCTCTTTATTATTAGAACCTGAAACATCATATATAAAGTGAATACATGTAATTAAGAGTGAGAAGGATGTTTTTGTGGTTTGCACCCATCTATGTTTATTTTCTACAGAGGTGCTGAGACACGTCTTTGTGATGCTGCTGTCAAAACTTGGCAAAATAAAACCAACTGGTGTCATGGTAGGACAATGGTAAAGGTTTGATGTCCCTGCTTTATACCCACCAAAACTGTATTCCAATCATACTGTGATTTCACAAAAAACCCTAAAAATCTCCTTACAGGTTAAAAATGTGCTTTGGTTTTCAGACTAATCTCTCTGCAGTGGCTGGGGTGAAGGAACTGATGTTATAAAATAAAGAAATCCTGCCGCCATCCCTCTGCTGCAGCTCGCTGACTCATACTTTGCTTTGATAACAAGCAGAGGGGGGGGAGACCAGCTGGCCCGTCCCCGCCCTCCACCACAGGTCCAACTCATTAATCAGGACTATTAATAATGTTATTATGGCCCAAATTATACTGTTTGTTTTAGCTGAGCCTGTAGCTAGTCTCACTTACTGGTGATTTATAACCAGAATTATCAAAAGGAATCTTAAAACATGGAAAGGAAACATCACGGCGACTGGTGAACGAGGAGCATCTAACCAACCCATTTATCAAAAACAACGTTAGTACCTGACATTTATCTCTCATTACTGCTAAAACATACGCAGCTGAGGGTATAAACTAACCTCGAGCTATTTGGTTTTTTGCCACCCATTTACTGAAATCTGAAAACCTGACATTTGTGAAACAGGTGTAAATATTTCACTTTGATATTGCTGCTGTTGATCAGTGAAATCAAAAGACTGAACTACTTGTACTCAGTCCCAGCTCAAAATGAGTCTTCAGCGATGCTGATGCTGTCTGTTCGTTTTCACTTTCACAGCCTCCTGTGATCGGATGTGTAAACCGGCCATTAGGGGTCATGGGCATTTTTGCAGTGTACTCACAAACTCCGTGATGGGGTCTCCAGTCATGGGGGCGTAGGCGATCCTGTACTGCCTGACGGGACCCTCTGCGTGGTCCCAGCCGATGGTGAGGGTGCTGGTGGTGGCATCATACACACGCATGTTCCTGGGACCGGTACGGGGCACTGCAGCACACACACACACACACACCACATTCAGTTGTGCCACAACACCACTATACAATGTGTTTGATGATACACTGAACAAAACGTACAGTACAAGTTACCAGACACCGAATCCTGTTCCTGTGGGTGGATTTTTTTTAATTAATAGTTTTCCTGTTTTGCATCCTTTGTGGCTTTTCATGTGTTAAGAAACATATGAGTAACTATAACTACCTTAAATTAAGACCGAAAGGGATACAAGGTGTGTGCAAGTGGTCTTTGTCCTTGGTGTATTTGATTTTCTCCCCTTGAATCTGTGTTCATGTGAGCTAGTGCGTGTGTATGCTCAGCTCTGTTCAGTCTAAAGAAGAAAGCATAAATAAAAACAATGACGCAGTAAAAGGTAATCTGGAGAGAAACAGTTAAAATGAATTAATAAATAGATAATAATGGAATTAGTCCACCTGCTACCTCTACCATAATCACTACCTAAACAGACAAAAAGCTGTTGCAGGGTACATCAAAAGAGTTCTCTTTAGATAAAATAAAGATCCACAAATACTAAATAAATATATAGAAATATGGCCCTTACTAACAGTGGGACTGCACATGTAGGACAGTTTCTAGGTCTAATTCTCTACTTTGAGAAAAAGTTAAACAGAATTACAAGAAAAGCATTCACTCTAAAAATCTTATTTTATAAGAATAATCAGGATAGTCACCTTTATCTGGCTAAGTATGTTACACACACACAAGGAATTAGTTTCCGTTACAGAACCGAGGCAGCCATCTGTGGCGCCAACTAACACCCGTGGTTCTAACCATTGGGGGCAACTTGGGGGCTCAGTGTCTTGCTCAAGGACACTTTGACATGTGGACTGCAGGCACCGTGATTCGAACCTCCAACCCTCCCGCTGGGGAATGACTGCTCTACCCACTGAACCACAGTCACCCCCAAATGTGATGATACTGCTTCTCTTGAGTCAGTCGTGTCTGTAAAGCTACTAAAATGATTTTTTTCAGTTGGAGAGATGCTGATACACTGGTCAGCTAATGCTAAAGTAGATCAGTTTGTATCCGTTTCATGGTCAATAAATTAAGTGGCTGTGAAGTTTCTGTTCATAAACAGCATGATTTACTTTTAATGGTCATCAAGTGAACACAAATCCCATAAACCCACAAACTGGAATTAGACAGATCAGCAGCAGCACTACTAAAGCTAACAGTGCCTCAAGCTTAGCTTTTACTGCTTTTCTAGTCACTTTGAGTACTTAACAGCCTGCGTATTTTACAAGTCAGTAAGCAAACAGAAATAGAAGTTATGTTATGTTTGTTCATTGTAGTAGCTGTTTGTTTTATGATAAACACTGAAAGTAAAAGAAGCACTGAATCATTAAGTATCACCCATGATAAGATCTAACCATTTGTTTTAAGAGACAGTTTCACAACTTGCTTGTTGAGAACTGTGCACATGATGTAAACCATGCAAATATAACTCAGTCACTTGGTTGTATACCCTGTCAACATGCGAGATGGGTGCTGTACTCACATGTTTTGCCATTGCCCTTCACTGGTGGTCCCGCTCCATCGGGGTACAGAGCTGAGACGCTGACCGAGTATGGAGTGTCTGGGATGAGGTTGTCCAGGAAGGCATTGTTAACATTTCCTGGAAGCAGGACCTTTTTGAAGAAGAAACCCAAGGATCAAAAAATGTATAGACATCACCACCATGACAGCCACAGCAGGGAGATTTTGGATTTTCATTGCATAACCATCTGGCAGCGATAATGTACATAATGACCTCACTGTGCATCCCTCATCCAGTTATCTCTGAGGCACCCTGCTGCCAAAGTTTCTCTCAAACACTAACAAAGGCCTGGGAGTTTAGACCCCAAACAAATCCATCATTCAGCAAGTGGACCGATGGATAAACAGTTTTCGCTAGGAAGCAGCTGGAGAGTGCGGCGTCTGTCAGCGGCTCAGGGCAGAATCAGGTTTTCCAACAGGGATGACTGCAGACTGTCTCCCGTCATTGGGATTATTACAGCATCTATTTGCAGCTTTCTAGCTGATTTGCGACCTATAAAAATCAGTGCCATTACATCACAATAAATCCATTGGATTTATTGGACTCCAGTCGACACTTATTTAGAGTTTTTGTTTTAATTAAAGTTAATATTGCAAAGATCTTTGGACCTCAGATTTCTGGCACAGTGAACCATGAATCAGTTCCCTCAGTGATGATGTAGTGCTTGAGATCCCACAACTGGAAGCACATACGCCTACTGGTCTGAGTATAAATCCCTCCAGTAAACTCTGTGGACATCAGCCAATTGTGTGGCCACAAGATTGGCTGGCTATTATCCTTTCAAAACAGGATGAATTACATTAGGCGGGAGGTTTAGTCATTCGGTCATTTCCTGAGGGCAGCCATGCTCTGGAGGGTTGAAATATAACTCATTGTTGAGTTACATTTCAGTGAGTGGAGCCACAACAGTTCTTCTGGATAAATAATGGGCTTTTGGGGTTGGATCACATTCATCGTGTTAAGGAGAAGCACGGAGAAGCCTGAAGAGGGGTGTTTCAGGACCAGTGCCCACTAATGAAGGTTACTCCAAGGCACCATCAAAGGGAAACCGGATGCTGCTGAGGGTGTAGGTCAATAACACCTCTTTGGGAGCATGCAGCCAACCTCTCCTCTTCCTTTGAATGTTGTTTTTGTCTCCACCGGGGCTGGAAGTGCATCCACCCGCTTTACCTTATAAGTATTTTTACTGATGACTTTTGTTGTCTACCCTTGTCTTGTTCCTAACATGATCGTTAAGGGCAGAAAACAAAGTCATTTGCAATTTTCACTCAGCAGCAGTGTTTTTACAACTCAAGTGAACTATACTCGAAAACTATTTGAAGGCAGCATAACAATAAATGTAACCACAATAAACTGTGACTTAAAAGACGGGGATGCTTGTACTATCAAGCACAGAGCTGTGCAAATACTTGAAACATGTGATCCAAGAATGCTATGATTAGCAGACATTCAGGGTTAAACTTTGAAATTGTGGAATCACTATTTAGTCAGCAATGACAAGTCATGATTCCTATATTTAAGAGCATTACCAGTCTAACATCTGTGCAACATTGACACGATAACTTTGAGAAACAAACAGGACCGACTGAAAGTGGCTGCCTGCTGTTTCCATGACACACACTGGCACTGTGAAAGCAAAGACGCCTCATTGATTTCACAGATTTGTGTGGAGAAGAGACGGAAAAAACTGATTTAAGCTTGTAGAGAACCAAAGTGCAACCTGATGCTTTGAGCTTAGTAACATAGTCCACATTCAATAAACAGTTTTAGTTTACACTGTTAAAAGAGGATCCAGATGTAAGATCCAAGGTCAAGACCAACAATTCCCTAGTCAAGTCTTAACTGAAGAGACAAGTCAAGACCCATCAGTCTCACATCAGTTCCAAGACACAAGCCTCTAACCAAATCAAATCAGCAGCCTTTACATCTCAGTATGATCATATCAGGTCACTCCAAGTCAAAAGGCTGAAGGAGAAGTGGAAGTGCAAGGTGCTGGTTTTACTGTCAAAGTCTAGTTACAGTACGAATCCTTTTTGATTGTCATGTCATCAAACTTGTCATCAGCAGAAAGTGAATCACTAACTGTTTCCACCTCCTCCAAAGTGAGGATTACCTGCCTTCTCTGTTTACTATCTCTGTAAATGGAACATGTGGGCTTTGCTCTTTTGGTCAGACAAAACAAGACATTTGAAGAGGTCAGCCGAGGCTTTAGGAAATTATATCCTCTAATATTTATATCTAATTATAGCCTCTAATATTTTACAGAAGTCTGTTAAGAAAAGTGCATGTACCTCCTTGAAAACAAACCCCTTTGCATCAGGTGTGTAGGACAAGGAATAACATTGGTAAAGTAAAATCAGTGTGAGGGCTCTAATCTTATTTCTCTACTGTCATTTTACAAAGAAATCACTCAACAAAAACAGATTAGTCAGTAATGAAAATAACCATTATTCGCAGTCCTACAAGCTGCGATATCATCTTTATCTTAAAACAAGCAAACACAAAGGCTGCTAGAGATAATGACCATTTTCACCCAATGAATTTCCACATCCAACAAGAGTCAACATGCCGACTATGAACAAGCTGATTTGCAATGAAAAAAATTATCTGCTCTCAAAAGTACAATTAAGTACCTGTTTAGAAATCAAACAACATGTCAGGGTTTGTTGTCTTATGTCTTCACATTCTTTGCTCTAATCCTCTCCCCTGTGAGCAGAGGCAGAGATTCCAAACCACCTCCTTCTGCCCTCCAGGCAGATTCTGCTGCTCATGACTGTTTGTTGTATAACAGCTTCAAGAGAGTTGCTCACCGACTCGGTGGGTCTGTTTCCAGTCAGCGAGGAGTAAGCCACCCGGTACTGGGTGTGGGGTTGTAAACCTGGATGTTCCTGGGTGGCGTGCGTGGGACTGGAAGGTCAGAGAGGTTAAGAGAAAGTGAAGTGAGGAAGGAGGGAGTATTGACGTTCTTCACTTAGCCACAAAACATCCAAATGAAAGTCCTTATCCAAGTATGTCTCAATAGGGTGCCTACAACGGACAGCTAGTGCAGATGGATTTACAAACACAAGCAATTCCATTGCTCATAACGTCAGTGTTAATAAATAAAGAGGTAAACAGAACGCCAAAGAACGTGAAGCCAAGGATCAGGTTGTCAGTTTAGGTTCTGCATCTTTGAAACCTTACAGAACTGATTCTGACCCTGCTAAAGCTGCAAACAAAAAAGTGATTTGTGTTGGAAAAAATGTTTCAATATGACATTCTCTGGCTTTTATCAAGGAAAAGACATTTAATAAAGGATTAAATTGTGTTTGCAGTGAGACGAACTGTATCACAGTCAAGCAGCACAGTTGTGGGTTTATAACCCTTTGACTCTCTTTTTAAACCAAAACCTGTGCAGATCCTCCTGATATTTGGAGCTTAACCTGATAAAAAGGTGTAGTGGGTAGATGTGAACATAGCATCCAGAACAACTCCCAGTGTAACCATCATTCAAGACCTGTCAGGATGTTTGATTGTGCCATCCAGAAGCAAGACGGACCCTGCATAGTAATTTATACAACTCTAGGAAAGGATTTTACAACTCTTCAAATGGCAACAATCTTGTTATCCTCTGCTGCAATGACTGGCAGGTTAACAGCAGGTTTACCCTGTTATCTGATTGGTCGGCGTGTTGCTGGATGAGGCTGTCTTGTGTTGAGCCAAGTTGAGCCAGGTTCAACTTTTTTTTTGCAGGAGCCCTCGCTGTGCCAGTGTTGTGGTCTCTCTGAAATGCATGCGAGGCCTGTGTTGTTTCACAAAGCCAGTCTAAACATGGCCCGAAACTCTCTGTAACAGCTGTGTGCTAATAGAGATCTGCTCCCCAAGCAGGACTGATTTGATTTGATTTATTCTTTCAAGCATGTAAAGACAGTTGATATGTCAACACACATAATTTTACACATATCCAACAAATGCTAATCCAATATCAATGTGCTTATACCTAGTACATGCTTGAATGGAGTAGGAAGAAGTCAGACTTATCCAGTCCTACCCCATGACATCATCTTACCATCATTGGTTTGCAAGCAGTAAATGATTCACTTCTACCCACACACATATTATACTAAAAAAAGATTATAACAGTGTTAACATTCTTACATAATTACATTCTTAAATAATTATCTTCTACACCACACAAGTAATATACTAAAGAATTATTACAGAGTATTAACATTCATACACCACACCCACAATGTTCCATC